GCCTGGAGCCTATTTCAGATTCTGTGTCTCCCTCTCTCTGACCATCCCCCATTCATGCTCTGTCTCTTTCTGTCTCAAAAATAAATAAACATTAAAAAAAAATTTTTTTTAATAAAAAAATAGTATTTATGATTCAGGGTCTGTACGTTTCAGCTAACTTTGGGTCAGCCAGGTGACCTTAGGGAAATACCTCTTTGTGCGGTGGCTTCTGCGTGGGGTGGCCCAGGCTCCCCCAAGGAGATTTTCCCAGGAGCCTCTGCAAACCCAGACCCCATCAAACCTGCTTGTAAACTACGGTCCAGGCTTTGACTTTTGTGAAAGTCAAAATAGGAATAAGAACTTGAAGCAAGACAGGTGGGAATCTGTATCATGTTTGATGACGTAGGTCTTCCCAAAGAAATCTCAATCCGTCACAAAACTATTCACATTATTACATCCTCCAAAAGCAAAACACCTCAAGTGCAATCCTGGCCCCAATAGGATTCCTCAAAATGGAAATAATTCCTTGAGAAATAGAAAGGTAAAATAAGAATAATTTAAACAATAGAATTAGCTGAGAAAAAAGATTGATCTGAAAACAAAACAAAACAAACTTTAAGAATGGGCAATGAAGTTTTTTTGTTTTAATGTTTATTTTATTTTTGAGAGACAGAGAGAGAGAGAGACAGAATGCAACCAGGGAAGGGGCAGAGAGAGAGGGAGACCCAGAAGCTGAGGCAGGCTCCGGGCTCTGAGCCATCAGCACAGAGCCCGATGCGGGGCTCAAACTCACAGACTGCAAGATCATGACCTGAGCCGAAGTTGGACACTTAACCGACTGAGCCACCCAAGCGCCCTGAAAAATCTTGTCCCTAAATGGAATCGAGTCATGCTCAAACCATTTCAGAGAAACTGAACGCTGAATGTCACCGTGTGTGTCTGAGAGGGAACCGCCATGAGATACCAATTCTCTAGAACTGATTTCCTCTAGCTGCTGACACACTTCGTAAGTGATCTTTTTCTGAGGATTCTGCCACAGCCTTCGTGTAACACAATATTTTTTTATTTTTGATGACTCCTGAGACATCAAAGTAACAAACTGACAGCTCTAAGTCTCAGACACACCCAGAATACAGAAGCAGGTGTAATTTTAAGTACGTTGGCTGTTTTCCAAAGGTCAATGAAATGCTTGTTGTAACATATACACCTTTTCTTGGCTGAAAGTCGAGAATAAATGAGCTTTGTTTTATTGTTTCTGTAGGCCTTTTTTTCCTTTAATTATTAATGCTGTTTTCCTAAGTTACCTAACACAAACCAATTCCTGTGGTCATAATAAGAAAACGAAATTTGACTCTTGCCGAATCCTGTAAAAACTAAGAGATTTAGGGTATGGTAGAGGAAAATGCCAGGTTATAATGTGAAGGAAAGACCGAGGTTCCCACTTCCAGGCCCCTCTGCTCTGGGCTTGTCCCCATGAAGACAAATGAGCCTCCAGTCCCACATCATCCCGCCCGTGTTCTCTCGGTGCTCCTTAACACTGTGTGAGCATTTCATCAGGGCGCCCTTCTAGCTGATTTTAAATGTGGTTTTGGTGGTCATATTTGCAGAATGTATTTACTTAAAGTAGCTCTTTCAGAGAAATATTTGAGGAAGATTTTGTTCCTCATAGAAATTTATTAAGCACTGCTGGAAACAGAGGAGGGAGGTAAGGTGAGAGGATGGTTTAAACTATAATCCAAAGAAATTAGCCTCCTCTTACAAATGTGTCCTAGAAAGTGACCCTTTAGAGCCAGATCTGAATTCTCCTGACATAAAGCCCCCTCTTCCCAAGTTTTCAGTGGACTTCATGTAAATCAAGCCTAACATTAACTAACAAACAAACAAACAAACAGGGGTGCCTGTGTGGGTCAGTTGCTTAAGCATCCAATTTCGGCTCAGGTCATGATCTCAAGGCTCGTGGGTTCCAGCCCCGTGTCAGGCTCTGTGCTGACGGCTCAGAGCCTGGAGCCCGCTTCGGATTCTGTGTCTCCCTCTCTCTCTGCCCCACCCCCACTTGCACTCTGTCTCTCAAAAATGAACAAACATTGGAAAAAAAATTTTTTTAAACACACAACAAAACCCAGGTTTACCAAAAAGAGAAAAT